CACGGGCGTCACTCAGCGCTGTCTTGTGTCCGGCTCATCTCACATGCTCCAGGCTCACCGCGTGAGTGGGTCCAGAATCTCCTTCCGTGCGGACGGACCCTTTGCTGGCCCATTCCCGCAGAGGCAGACACTTGGGGTGCTTCCGCTTGGGCTGTTGCGAATAAAGCTCGGTGAACGTAGGCGCACAGCAGGGGTGGGGGACGTCCAGCCCGCGGCTGCAGGAAGAAGGCCCTCGGAATCCTGTGGTCTGGCCCTGCCAGGGCATCGGGGTGACCAAACACCGCAGGCTGAGTCTTAAGCTGATACTGGGTTACAAACACCCAGCGGCCCTGGGCAAGAAAGGCCCACCCCGGCGGACAGCTGTCTGCTGAGTCCCGCGTCCTCTGCTTTTGGGGGACACCCAGGGGGTGCGGGCCTGTGGCAGTTCTGTTGGATTTGCTGAGGACCATGTGCTGTTCGCACAGCGAGACTGCCACCTCACCCAGGCAGGCACCGTGTCCTGGCCCGCACTTGGTCAGCTGGAAAGGACACTGGAGGCGTGACAGAGGTGTGGTGTCTGTCAGCACCGCCCTGGAAGGCCCTCCGGGTCTCCTGCTCGCAAAGCGAGCCTGCGAGGTGCCAAGGCCAGGACAGGCCAGACAAGACCGAGCCCCGCTGGCCTGCGTCGCCAGCTTGTGGGACACCAAGCACTCTGGACGTGAGCCAAGGGGTGAGGGTCATCTTGGCAGTGCCCCCGCCAAGGCTCCCAGTCTGATGGCCTCGCAGCTGCCCAGGACCATGGCCGTCCTGAGCGGTAGTGCCTCCTCCCTCCGCCCTCAGAGCTGGACCGGCCCCTCCCCTCCTTTAGGACACGCTGCCTGCCCTGGGCAGCCTCCGCCCCCTCCGCACCCCGTGTGTGCCCTGGAGCCTGGGAGCCACAGCTCCGGGCGGTGGGCCTCTCCTGGCTTCCACCCCTGATGCAGCTGCACTTAAAGGAAACCCCCACTGCTCCCCGCCCCCCCCAGGCCTGGCTGCAGAGCAGGGGTGGAGGAGGGCTAAAGCTGCTCGGCCTGGCTTCCCAGTCCAGACCCCCTGGAGAAGGGATGCGGGGTGCGGATTGCTGTGCATTCAGAGTGCTCTGGGCAGAACCGACATGAAGATAGCTGCCGCTTTGTCCGGGCAGAAGGAGGTGCCGCGGTGCCCTTGCCGGACTGAGCCTGGCGGGGACGGGCGTGGGCGCATTAGTTTGGACAGAAGCAGCCCCTTGGGCCTGGCTCTGCTGGTTTCCAGCACCGGGACATTGGTCAGACCTGCTCTGTCACCAGCAGTGCGCGCTGATGGGGGAGGCGTGCTCTGAGCGGCTGCCGGCCTGAGGACGGCAGCTGCCGGCCTGGTGCCCTGGGGCCGCTCAGCCTAGATTTAGCTGCTGGCCTGCAGGGTGTGTGGCTGTGCTGCCCCCGCGGGGAACTGCTAGGGCGAGGCCGGTGACATTGGCCTGCACTCCCACGGGAACCGTGCTGTCACGTGGTTTGTATTCTGCCGGGACAGCCCTTTGAGAGGAGCTGGCCTTCTCATGGAGGAGCAGAGGTGACAGGAGGGGGCTGTCACAGGTCTGAGCCCAGCTCTGGGCCCCTGACGGCTTCCGGAGGGGGACTGAGCTGTGGAGCCAGCGGCACTGAGGGAGCGCAGGCCCGCCGGGCACCGGCCAGCTCACAGGCAGGCCCGCACCCCCTCCTCACGTCCGGTGAAGCGCAGTGCTAATTTGGAGGAGGCGGAGGCACAGAGCCGTGAAGTGCTGTGTCCGGTTGTGAGCTCCTAGGGGAGCCAGGCCTGGACCCCAAGGCGGCCCCGGAGCCTGTGCACCCAGAGAGGGCTTTTCCAGCAGGGAGGGGCGGGATGGGTCTGCAGCCCCTGGACGGCGGAGCAGCGTGGCTGACCCTGGCGGGCACTGCCAGGCCGTCAGGTTCTGTGGGCTATTCATGCTGAGAGAAAATTGCTGAAGTTAGGTTCGCCACAAAAGGATGTTAAAAAAAATTTAAAGGCCAATTAACTGTCACCATGTCACAGAAAAGAAGATGGTCTTAAATATGCCCAGATAGTGAGGAGGAGGGCGTCCTTTAAGTGGCCAAGTCCAGCTTTCAGGAAAGTCTGCGTCAGCTTTCCCTGTGCTTCTACATTTCACCCTGGACTGTGGCCACCCCGGTGAGAGGCAGGTCGGTGAGGGAGCCCCAGAGGTTGGGCCCGTTGAGTCCTGTGTGGCTGTGGCCCTGGCCAGAACCTGGAGCAGGGGACCCTGAGCCCCCCTGATGGAGCCACCGCCCCACATTGATGACAATTTCTCCGGACTGTTCTCGTCCTTTTCCTGATCAGGTGCTGGGGGCCAGCATGAGGGGGCCGTGGGAGGCAGGAGGAGCCCAGGCCCCCAGCACTGCTCACTTCCTCTCCTGGAGGCAGCGTCCTGGCCAGAGTCCAAGGCCTTGGACCGGAGCGCTGGCCTCGTGTATCTCAGGGACACCGTACCCTCTCCCGGGACTTGGAGCAGTAGCACACCTATTTCCAAAGGTGGGAGTCTTCTTTTCTTTTAAGAGAACATGGAGGGAAAACAAACCTGGAACCCGTTTCCATGGGCTTTGGGCTGCGTACCCGCTGTCACTGCATGCTGGGGGTCCCCCACCTCCTGACAGTGTGTTTCCTGCTTTAGTTGTACTTGAGTTGAACTTTCTCACCAAATCTCATTCCCCCAAGTAAAGTTCTGTTGCTTCTGCGTCCCCATCCATCCATCCATCCATCCGGATCAGACAAACACTTGGGCCTTGGCACACGTGAGGGAGAGGACCGCCCCCAGGGCTCTGCTGCTGGCCGGGGTGCTGCCGCGTGCGGGGACAGGACGCGTCTGTGTGACCACGGGGGAAGATGGGAAAGCGTTGGGACTGTCCGCATGGCGGCGAAGCTGTGCTCATTAGCCAGGTCGGACACCGCCTCCGGTGGACCTCACGCCCGGAGCCTCCTCAGAACCGGCTGTCCTGGCATTGGACGGGCCGTGGGGACAGTCTGGAAGATCGGGCTCTGTGTGCTTTCTCGCCTGACCCCTCGGGGCGTGGTGCCGGGGGGCGCTGTCGTTCAGAAGTCGCTGAGCCCTGGCTCCCAGGAGGCTTAGCTGCCCAGGCAGAGGCTGAGGCTCCTGTGCCTCTCCTTGTGGCTTCAGGCGGAGCCTCCTCTCTGTGACCTAAAGACAGCGCGGCGCCCACCGCACAGTGCCCACGGCTGGCCCTCCTGCTGCCCGGCGCAGGGACCCTGGGAGCACTTGGAGGGGACGGGTACCCTATGGCTCACGTATCCCCTGCCCTGCGGCGGCCTGCTGCCTGCGCCTTGCTCCTGGAGGGTCGAAGTTGATGGAAATAAATGGAAACACGAACAGGTGATCTCGGTGAGGTCAGGTACCCCCTGATAGGTCAGAAGCCTTCTGTTCTTTCCGGTTTGTTTTACCCAGATGTGGTGCCTGAGCTGCTGACAGCTCCCGGAGGCAGGTTGCCGATGCTGAGGTTCAGGGTGAGCGGCAGGCTCGTTGGGGGCGCAGCTGGCACTGCATTGCAGGCCTCACTGGGCCGTGAGGGGGCGAGGCCCGGGCTGAATTCCTGACAGGCAGTGAGGTTCGCAGTGAGGTAAGCGGGCCCAGCTTCCTTGCCCGGGAGGCCTTGGAAACCGTATCCTTAATCGGCCATGGCTGTGCCCAGAAGAGGCTGAAGGCCTGGGCTCGCCCTGACTGGCCATCTCCATGCTGGGCAGTTGGAGGCGGGACGTGCCAGCCCGGACCAGAGTGCCAGGGATGAGGGATATCCCGCTGTGGTTTGGTTTTGGTTTTTCTTTTTGGACCAAATGCTTCCTGGTGGCTTCTTAAAGAAGAAACTGCTCATCCCCTAAGACCAGGACCGAGCTCGAGCGCTCTCCCCTTTTCCCTGGTAGGTCCCGGCATTGCCTTCTCCGTTCCTGCGTCGTAAGCCCGCCCTCGGCCTCAGCGCCGGTGGCAGGAGTGCCTGCAGGCCCTGGGCCCTGACTTGGGCCTCAGCTGTAGGGTCTGGTCTCCGCACACAAGTCCTTCCCTCTTCGCCGTGCCCACCTTGTCATCGGCCAGCCACATGGCCGGCTGGTTCCCTGGGTTCCAGTGTGGCCGTTGGGGCACAGAACCACCCCAGGGTTGCGGGGTGAGCGTTGCTGGCGGAAGGCAGCGTGTCACGGGGCAGGTGGAGGCGCCGCGGAGTGGCTGCTGGGGGATGAGTGCGCATGTGGGCAGTTGTTTTGAAGTGGCTTTAGCGGTTGGGTTGAGGAAGAGGTCTCTTGGCAGGAGGAAAAGGTTGAGGGAGCTGTACAATTTCCTCCCATCAATAACCCGCATGTGCACCTCTCCCAGGGAGTGCCTGCAGCCGCAGCCTTCCAGAGAGCTGCTGAGGACGGGGTAAGGAAACCCCGCCCCGAAAGGAGGCGCTTCCCTGCTCACCCACCACTGCCTGGGAAGGGACACGGTGTGTCAGCACAGAGGCTGTGCCCTTCTGTGTCCAGAGGCAGACTCACGGCGAATGGGGTCCCTCGTGTAATCAGGGGACCTGGGCCATGAACTCCGGACCATTCTGTTCTCTAGTCTGGGTGTGGAGAGGTTAGACTGGGAGGAGGCGGGGCACTCAGGTCCTCTGTGGCCTTGCCCCGTGTCCACTCACAGCCTCCCACCTGAGGCAGCGTTAACGGGCAAAACGCCAGCACCAGGCGGGCCTGCTGGTCCTTTCAGGAAGCAGGCGGCCAGTGCGGATCTCAGAGGAGGCTCAGCCTCAGCTCTGCCACCGCTGCCCGCTGAGCTGGGCGAGAGCCCGCATCTCTGGATTCGCTGTCCAGCGAAGGCGGGGACTGCTTTGAGGGGGTGGTGATGGGACAGGGGCCGTCCAGGTTGCCTTGGGGGAGATGCTGAGGGGATTGTGGGAACTGAGTCGACCCTCTGGCTTTGGAAATGACTCTGCCTTTTGTCGTTGTAGGAAGACATGGCTGCTCACGTAGGCGCTTCCCGGACTCCCCAGGAAGTGATGGAGCATTACGTAAGCATGTACATCCACGGCAACCTGGGGAAGGCCTGCATCCCTGACACCATCCCCAACCGGGTGACAGACCACACCTGCCCCAGTGGAGGCCCCCTCTCTCCCAGCCTCACCACCCCCTTGCCTCCCCTAGACATCTCGGTGGCCGAGCAGCAGCAGCTGGGCTACATGCCGCTGCGCGACGACTACGAGATCGAGTACGACCAGGACGCCGAGACGCTCATCAGCGGGCTCTCGGTCAACTACGACGACGAGGACGTGGAGATCGAGCTCAAGCGCGCGCACGTGGACATGTACGTGCGCAAGCTCAGGGAGAGGCAGCGGCGCAAGAACATCGCGCGCGACTACAACCTGGTGCCCGCCTTCCTGGGCAAGGACAAGAAGGAGCGCGAGAAGGCCGCCAAGCGCAAGGTCACCAAGGAGGAGCGCGAGCTGCGGCTGAAGCTGCGGCCGCTCTACCAGTTCATGTCCTGCAGGGAGTTCGACGACCTGTTCGAGAGCATGCACAAGGAGAAGGTGCTGCGCGCCAAGATCCGCGAGCTGCAGCGCTACCGGCGCAACGGCATCACCAAGATGGAGGAGTCGGCCGAGTACGAGGCGGCGCGGCACAAGCGGGAGAAGCGCAAGGAGAACCGGAACTCGGCCGGCGCCAAGCGCGGGCGGGAGGACGCCAAGGACGGCGAGTTCGCCGCCATCGAGAACCTGCCGGGCTTCGAGCTGCTGTCGGACCGCGAGAAGGCGCTCTGCAGCTCCCTGAACCTGAGCCCGGCGCGCTACGTGACCGCCAAGACCATCATCATCAAAGACCACCTCCAGAGGCGCCAGGGCATCCCCTCCAAGAGCCGCCTGCCCAGCTACTTGGACAAGGTCCTCAAGAAGCGGATCCTGACCTTCCTCACGGAGAGCGGGTGGATAGCCAGGGACGCCTCCTGAAGCCGCGGGAGCCGGGGAGCCGAGCCGCTGTGAGCCAAATGACTGGGGCGGGGGAGGGACAGCTCCGCTTTTTCCCGTTGTTTTTCAGCAAATTGAGTTCCTTTGTTTAGGGTGTAAGTTCTCGTGGTCCTCCATCCGAGACCAGGCAGGAGGGACTGGCGCAGGCAGTGAACCTTGGTCCTGAAGCAGCGCGTTCCGAGGGCGGGGGACGGCCTGAGTGCTCAGTGAGGAGAATGTGATGGTGGGGGCGTCCGGGGAGCCCTTCCCTGGGGCTCACTGTGCTGGCCGCCGGCTGCCCGGCCTGCCTGGGGACATGGCTGCGGCAAGGGGCACTTTAGATGGTGCAGGGCAGGTGGGCAGTGAGGCCAGCGGGCAGGGTCAGGCTTCCTTGGGCCGTGAGAAGAGGCTGGTAGTGAGCAGACCAAATGAGCTTCCCCTTAGCTGTGGCAGTGGCAGTGGCAGTGGCAGGGTGTGGGTTTGCAGTTCCCAGGCCCAAAACGGCCCCTTTTGCACCCTCTGGGCAGCGCCCCCTAGTGTGGAGGGTGGCTGTGGGGAGCATGGCAGCCAAGACCAGTGCAATGGCCAGGACTGAGCCCTTCCTGGTGGCAGCTGCTGGCTGCCCTTTGGACTTGCGTGCATTTTACTTGCAAAACCTTGTTTTAGGGAGCTCATGGCTGTTGTGTCCTGGCGTTAGTGTCCTCCAAGGTGTTTGTCACAGCTGCAAGTACCTTTTCTCTGAAACCCTGACCAGACCAGCCTGGCTAACATCTGACCTTCAGGTGGCCTTGCCCCCTGGAGACCAGCCAGGCGCCATGGGCCGGCCCATGTGGCCGTGGGTCCCAAGGCCCTTGTGTTGCTGCTGAGTCACTCTCTTGACCAGACTCCCCGTGCTCTGCCCAGCCCGCCTCACAGGCTTTCTCAGGGGCCTCTGACACGGTTCCTTCCTCCGGCACTTGGGTGGCCACTTGTCTTCCAGGCTGCTCAGGGTTCTCAGGTCCAAGACCTGCTTAGGGTCAGGGGTGACCGCAGACCAGCCACCTTCCGGCACCTGGCCTGCTTCCGGCCGCAGTTATGGAGCCGTGACCTCAGAATGTGTGGGCTTGACGTTACATTACAGGGAAATTTGAAAAAGTCCCTTATCGTTTCCAAGGATGACCTAATTATGGTGCCTTTCCCTTTCTTACATCTCCTGTCCCCTAGGGTCAGCTCTCAGCATTAACCGAACAGCTCAGTGTGTGTGTGGGCAGAGGCTCCTCGCTCTCAGCCAGGACTGCTGCTGACAAGTGTGAGCGGTGGTGGTAAGGGTGAGGGCCACCTCCTCTGCCCTGCTCGTAACTGCCCCCCGTGGAGCTGGTGTTGCCGCCACTGGCATCGAGGGAGGCAGTGCTTCCTTACAGCTTCTCAGCCGGTGGCCCTTGCCCAGGGTTCCTGGACCCAGCAGCACCAGCCCGCAGGCCCGGGGCCCCTGGAGGCCTTTGGACCAGCCTCCAGGCGGCCTGGCTGTAGCTGTGCTGGTGTCACGCATGGGCTCCTGTCACATGCCTCGTATGTAGTCCTATTTTTCTGTAAGGGCTGCCGGCTTCAGTAAGCTGGGAGGCAGGCGCCCAATAGCTGTGGCCGGTGGAGAGCTGCCAAGTGAACACGTGGTGCTGGAGGTTTGAGGGTGCCTCTTTTGATGGCGTGAAGAACTTATTTAGGCGTGGCTGTTTTAAACACCATGATGAATGTATAATTTATGTTAAAAGTGTTACCTTGGTTACCAGGGGAAAGTGACTTCTGATTGGTTGCCTTTATCCCGTCCACTCCCTCCCGTTGCCAGTCTTTACCCCTGCTGTGAGCGCAGAGCCTTTACATGTCTATTTAATTTCCTAAGTTAGTGGCCACAATCCCAAGAATTAGGTCTTCAAAATTTAAACTCCAACCTTTGAGTCCAGTTCTGTACTCAGCTATTCAGAATCCTCTGGATGCAGCCTTCCAAGAATGCGTTAAAGCCGACCTGACCGTTTTTACTGCCCTTTACTTATTAAACAAGTTGAGAACAAACGTGTGTCCCTGACTGCTTCTTGGCACCCGCTCCAAAGCCTGAGGCCACCTTCCGGGGGCGAAGGGTGTGGGAGGGGGCAGCACAGGCACGTGTTCGCTGGCCCTTCTGTCAAACCAGCTGCTTCAGATCAGACTTGCTTCCGTTAAGCAGGAAACCTCATGCCAGCCCTGCTCCCTGAAGGGCACCAGGAAAGGCGTGTCCACGGAGGCCGAGCGCGGCCTGGATTGTCTACGCTGTACGTGTCTCCAGGTTGCACTGGCCAAACCCAGCAGCGTGGACGGCCAACCACTAATTTCTAGTGTAAATCCAGATGGCAGGTGCTCAGATGTGTTGTGCAATGTTGAGGTACATTTTACCTCGCTCATGTGTCCCCATTGGCCTAAGGTAAAACTGGCTTCACTGTATGTGGTTTCCCCCAAGCCTCAGAACCCTGGACTCACGGGAGGATGTGCTGGGCGTGGTGGCGTTCTCCCCGAAGGGAACCCGTGGCGGGGCTAGTGAGGCGCTGGGTGCCCATGTGTCTTCAGCAGCTGCAGCTCTGTGCAGGGAGGGGCTGCCCTCACAGGCGTGATCTGAAATGACTCCCGCACAGCTTTCCCAGCGAGTGCAGGAGGGGAGGGGGCACTCACAGCTCGACAGGCAGAGCTGCGGCTCCGTCCGGTTCGTCAGCCTTCAGTTCTGGGATATGTCTTACAATTGGAGAAAAGCGTTTGAAATTGTATATTAAAATTTTCATTATGGGAATAGTACCTCCAAAATTACCAGCCAGTAAAATGGCCCCGTTTTCCCCGCACCCCTTAGGCCAAGGCAGGGGCGGCTGTTTTCGTTCCTAACAGACACGCCCGGGCCTGTGGGGAGGCCCAGGCCGGCGTCCGCAGACTGTCCTGCTGTGGGTCATGGGTGTGTGGTCCCGTCACGGTCCTCAGGCAGACACCATAGCCCGCCCGGAGCAGGCCAGGCCACGCCAGCCTGCGGTGCACTGATGGGAGCAAGCACGTGCCTGTGCATGTGTGTCAGGTACACACCCCAGTCATGCTCTCCTTAGTAAGGATCGCCACCAAGGTACACAAGAGACTTATCAGAAAGTAGGAAAATAAACATCGGGCTTTAATCCTCAAATAAAATTTTAAAACTAAACAACGTTTAAAATTTACCAAGCATGCAGCCCTCAGGCTTTGAGAAAGACCATCTCACTAGGGACGTACCTTCAGGTCATTAGTACCTAGCTGAGTGTGAGAGAAACATTTCTGCACGGACTTGAACAAAACAGGACAAGAGTAAGTGATGTCGTCAACTCCGTCTTATTCTGGGGGGAGCGGGGAGAACTGTTAAGGTGCCTCCAAAGAAAAGCCAGAAGTCGGTCACGTAGCAGCTGGATGGTGATTACAGGTGGACTCATTATGTCCTCCACCAAACACGTAAGTTTTCTGAACAAGAACCAAGTTAAGCTGCCTTTCCTGCCTGAATGAGGTGCAGAGGGCTGAGGCCTGCTGAGCTCGCACAGACAGTGGGAAGCAGAAGGCGCACAGGGCAGGTGGCGTGGCCCGCTACCAAACAGCACAATTCCCGGAGACCTTTTATTCGCTTTAAATACTTTGGTGTCATCAGACTGAGCAGATGTAGCATTATTCACGATACCCGAGGGCCCAGTGGTGTCCTGCTCTGTAAGCATGTGAACTATCAAACGTGTATTGAAAATCAATAAACAGGCTCCCAAATTAGAGTCCAGTAACAGCTGAGCAACGGGCCCAATTTCCTGTTTAGCCGCTGGTTACTAAAGCTTTCCAACAAACCAGCCCTTTAAGAGTTACAGCCAGTGATTACCCACAACCCACCGAGCCTGGGAGAAGCTAGGCTTCCTTCACCACCCCCACCAGGGCGGGCCGCAGGGTGCGCCCGTGCAGCTTGTAGCCCACTTTGTTCACCAGCGCCACCGTGCCCGGCTCCTTGCCCTCCACCGGCGTGTGGAACAAGGCCTCGTGCTCGTAGGGGTCGAACTTGGCGCCCAGAGGGTCCAGCCGGAGCAGGCCGTGCTTGGTGAACACCTTCTGGATCTGGACCTCGGTCATGACCAGCCCCTCGTAGAGGTTCTTCAGGTGCGGGTTGTCCGCTGTGACCTCCTCCTTGGGAACGCTCTGCGTGGCCTTCTCCAGGATGTCTGCGACCTCCAGCAAGTCCTTGCAGAAGCCCTGGATGCCTGCACAGAGTCCGAGAAGAACATCTGCATTCCACCGCGTCAACCGAGCGGTTCCAATCCAAACCAACCTCCATGGCCCGCCTGACAAATACGAACCCCAAAGCCTGTTCTGGGCTTGGACAAGAGCTACTGAGGTGTGAAGGCCGGCAGCTGGAAATGTGCAGGACCGCCCCCGCCCCCGCTCCAGCCCCGAGGAACTGCCTGCCCCCGCAGACCACCCCGCCCCCGCCCCGCCGACAGCACGGCCTGGGGCAGTCACAGTGACTTAGCGGTCGGCCTTGCTGGGTCTCGGCCCTTCAGTTGTGAAGCGGGACGATCGTGCCTCCCAGTGACGGTAGGAGGACCGATAGAGCCATGTATGCTTGAGTGCCTGGCACACTACATGTATTCAATGTTAGCAACTTCCGGGCACTGTGGGTAAGAGTTACCAAGACTTCGCCTTCATCTAACAGAAGACAGAACGTTAGAAGGATCACTCGAAATTCAAGGCAGTGTGTTATATAATGTTTATGGTTTCAAAGAAAAGGCTCCGATGCCGACTGGAAGGCATGGCGAGCACCAAAATGGTGCCTGCTTCCACCCAGGCCCCGCCTGCGGGAGCCAGGGCGGCCTCGGGCTAGTAAGACAGCAAGTGGGAGCGCAGGGGCCGCCGCCAGCTTTGTGGTGAGCGGCAGGTCACGAAGCCTCAATGATCTCAACTGTAAAGTGGGAAGGACAGGGACATACTCAAAGGTGACAACCGACAGCCTCTGAGATCTTACGTGGCACCAACGTGGTTGCTGGTGATGCCAAGGAAATGGCACCAGAGAGGCTGACCTGCCGGGATTACCCGCAGGCCCACACCGAGGCTCCACATGGAGCGAGGAAGCCTCCTGCTTACGACTCGAAGCACCAGTCACACCTCCAGGTGTCTCCTCAAAGGGGCAGGGGAGAGGACCACCTGCAGCTCCCCCGCTGACCTTGCTGTGGGAGCATCCGTACGCACCCACCTGCCCTCCGTCCCCTATTTCCCAGGCCAGTATCACAATGGTGAAAGTTACCGTATAATTTTGCCTCCTCCACCAATTTTTGGGTCCTCTGCCGCAAGTTCTCGGTATCTGCCAAAGCTCGCTTATACTTTTCCTAAAAAATGGAAAAGGAAACTAATATGAACAAAACATAGCACAAATTCATAGGAAAGCAAATCTGACACAACCAACCGCAAGTCAAAACACAACACCTATTGTCAGGTCTGAGGCTTTGGACTACAGGCAGTGCAGCTTAACTTAGAAAAAGTCACCCCCGCGTCACCTTCCAGCGAGCGGGGAGTCGATGTCAAGGTGACAGATACTTATGTAGCTCCACGGCCATTCTCACTCAGCGGACCGCTGTGGGGAGAGAGAAGCGACTTTCTTGGGCCCTGACGGCTCATCACCCAGGAAGGACCATTCACTTCCTTAACCAAGTTTCCAACTTAGGGGAGCCCAGCAGCCTCACAGGGGGCTCACCCACGGGTTCCCATAAGCCTGGTGGACACTTGCTGCGTGTAAGCATCTGAATTATGGGATTGTCCTGTCTCACCACTTGACTGTAATCTCACATTTTGCCTCGATCAATTCAATTTCCGAAGTGACTGGATTCCTCTGGGGAGCCGGGGAGCCACGACAACCCCCCTTTCCAGTCTTTGTTCAGGCAGGTCCAGGTCTCCAAGCTCAAACCCTGGCTCTGCACTCAGCAGTGAGGCGACCTTAGGAAGTTTACGTAACTGTCCTGTGCCTCAGTTTCCTTGTCTGTGAACAGGGTCTGTGAGGATCAATATACATAAAGGCGCTGGAACAGGGTCACCACCCACGTGTCTGGTATTGCCATTCTTAATCCTGAAGAAACGGACTATGCATCCACCTTACTGCCGAGTTCACAAACCGCTGCCTCCCCTCGGACCCAGCTCAGACAGCCATGCTGGTGTTCCTCATCTGTAAAGACCAACTGAAGTCTTAGCTCAATGCAATCTACGTAGCACGTAACGGCGAGTCTCGTGGCAGAGCCAGAGCCATAGGGGACCTGGGTTCCAGTCCCTTCCCTAGCAGGAGCATGCTGCAGGCCCCAGCCGTAGTCCTGGGACGAATTAAGAACTCGCCTGGCGCTCGGCCGACCACCTTCCCGAAGAGCCTGCGGCCTTACCATCGTGTCCTTCAGCTGCTCCTCTAGCTTGGCCTTCTCCTCCGTGAGCATCTTCTCTGCACAGGGAGCATCCGTCTTCTGGTCCGTCTGACCCACGTCCTCTTCCAGGTTCTGGCCGCTGTTCTTCTGCTTTGCGGCTGTGCACAGCAGCCGAGGCGTGGGCCTGGGGAAGCGCCTGCAAGGCAGAGGTAAGGGCTTTCCATCTGAGGAACCAGACTACCTGCCAGTGACTTGCTGGGGAGAAAGGATTCACCTTGCATATGATGTACACAAACCATTTGTCAACAGCCAGTACGAATGTGTCCCCAGGCCACCTGCCAGCTCCTCTCCGGTCCCGAGCACGTCCTCCAGGCCCCACCAGTACCCGTGGAGCAGCTATTGGCAGACGTGAGGCCCAGAGCTGACGCTGACCACAAAGGTGCTTGGGGCAGAGATCCTGCCACAGGGCACTCATGTCACGCAAAAGAGGTATCTCTACTCACGGAACTATAATTTTGTGTTTAAAAGTGGTAAAAGGGGAGGCTCTGGAAGGCTGAGCATAGGATACTTCTTAGCTTTGGAGAACGGAAAATGAAAGGCTTCATGCAGAGGGACTGGAAGGCTGGCTAAGAATTCCAGGAAAGGCCGGCCGGTGGCTCGGTTGGTTGGAGTGTCCCGTATGCCAACAGGTGGCAGGTTTGATCCCCAGATTCCCAGCCTGGTGGGGCACTAATGGGAGGCAACCAATCGATGTTTCTCTCTCTCTCTGCCTCCCCACAACCCCCTGCCTCTTTAAAATTAACTTAGAAGTTACACATAAAGAGTCGGAGTGGTCTGCAGACCCACGTCAGGAAGAGGGAACTGCTTGGCCAGGACGTGGGGGATGCACAGGGAAAAACAAAAAGACCGGATCCTGGAGGTAGAAGTGACTTAACACGATCCAGTCTGGTCCCTGAGTCCAGAGGTTAAATAATTAAGCCCAAGGTCACAAAGCCACGAGTAAGTGACAAAAGTCTTAAATCCCAGGTCTCTTCACCGGGACCCGCGGGTCCCGTCTGAGGAGGGGGCTCCGTCCCACTTCCTCCCAGAACAGAGGCCTCCGAACAGGAGCTGTCAGGGCGGCGCACCCGCAGCAGCGCAGGAAACGCCGCCACCACCGCCGCCCGTGTCCCCTGGGACCCACACCGTGTGCGCGTGGTCCCGGGCGGGGAAGTGAGGCCCACAGGCTGCTCGCGGGTGGAGGGCGGTACCTTCTCACTGTGTTTTTATTTCTGTGACTTAAACGAATGGTCCTAACCCGGAGCGTGCTGCTGTGAAACCTGGTTTCCTTCCAGTTGTTCTGCCCGCCGCTCCCCCGCCCGGGCGCTGCCAGCAGGAGATGCGGAGGGAAACCGAGGCCCCGAGAGGCCAGCCGCCCGAGAGATCCGAGTGCAGCTCAGCTCTCCCGGCTCCCGGTTTGGGCCTCTCTTCACAGATGAATGCGACTGGCCACGCCGTTCCGGGCAACTAATTCCGGTACAAGGCCGCCAACAACTCGAGCGCAGAGCCTCGCGGCCAGGGGCTCGGGCGGGCCGCCGCCGTCCCGTGTGGTTCACACAGTTTGCCGGGTGGCAATCAGGCCTCGGACCCTTCCACCGCCGTGATGTAACCCCGGGGCCGCACTGCCGTCTACGCTCCGAACTCCAAGCTCACGGGCCGGGCTCCCGCGCCTCTGACCTCAGACTCCGGAAAGGGGAGGCGGCGCGGAACACGGGCCGCGGGAAATGCCCGTGAACCGCTGACCCGAGCGCCGAGTCCACAAAGCTCTCCGCCCACGGGGACCGGCCCTGCGCCGCCGGGGCGCACGCCCGGTGCCGCCGGCGGCCCTGCCCGGCCCGGCCCGCGGCGGCCTGTGCCGGGCGCGGGGCTGCCACCGGCGCGGAGCCGCGTGCGTGCGGGCCAGCGCGGGCCTCGGCACCCGGCACCGTCCCGTCACTCTCCAGGCCCGCGCGGGCGCCCGCAGCCCACGACGGCCCGTTCCCGGGCCAGACTCAGGCAGGACGGCACCGAGGGCCGCGCCTCCCGCCCAGGGCAGCCGGGCGCCCCTTACCTAAGAGAGAACGCCAAAGCCGGCAGGCTGCGCCGCACCAGCCTCACGCACCGAGCCGCCATGACTGCCACCCGCGACGGCACTGCGCACGCACCGCGCATGCGCGGAGGCCGCCGGCCCGCCCCCTCCGGGGCCCAAGCAACTCGCGCAGGCTCTGTGCCGGCTACTTTCTTTCAGCCAATTGGCGACCGTATTTCTTCTGATGGACGGACGTGAGTCACCAATAGTCGTGGGCCCCGGTGGGTGGGCGGGGTCGGAGGGCTTCCCAAGCCCCAGGACAAGGGGAGGGGAAAGTTCAAGCAAACGGTGGGAGGAGGGCCTCCGTGGGCGGGGCGTGGTCAAGGGAAACACCAATGGGGAGGAAGCTGGGGGGGGCGGGAAAGGGGCACCGGAAGTGCGCACGCGGTTAAGGGCGCTGGCGGTTTTCGGGCCGGTTTTCCTAACACCTCGTTTGGCTTTTTGCTTGGAGACAGTTTGGGGCGGGGCGGGCGTTTGGCCGCTTTTCCTGCCGCCCAGCTCCTGGCGCGGTGCCGGGCGCAAAGCGCCCAGTGTTGATGGAATGCTGGTGGGGGGGCAAAGGCGCCTCCAAATGCACCTGCTCAGTGCTGCCTGCCTGCGGTCCTCTGCGAGATCCGAGGGCTGGAGCCTTCTCCCAAGTAGAGGGCCGCTGTTTGTCGCATTTCTGAGGACCAGACCTCTATCCTTCACTTTGCTCCCCCGGAGTATTCATAATGTTGAATGAACACCTACTGCGTGCTGGGCGTGCCACCCGTGGGAGACGGCAAACAGCCAAACCCAGAATTCAGGATGTTCTGAGGGAAAACACTGGTTGTTAAGGAAGGGCGTGGAGATAAAAGAGGAATTAGGGCTGTTTGGGGGTAAAAGAGCTCAAAGACATAATTGAATGGGATGTGTGGACCTCATTTGGATCAGGATGGAACAAACCAACTAAAAAAGATAAATGTGAGCCCGTGGGGAAATGTGAATATAAACAGTATTAGATTGCCGAAACCGGTTTGGCTCAATGGATAGAGCGTCGGCTTGGGGACTGGAAGGTCCCGGGTTCGATTCCGGTCAAGGGCATGTACCTTGGTTGCGGGCATATTCCCGGTAGGGGGTGTGCAAGAGGCAGCTGATTGATGACTCTTTCTCATCGATGATTCTAACTCTCTATCTCTCTCCCTTCCTCTCTGTACAAAATCAATAAAATATATTTTAAAAAAAATAAAAAAAAAAAATAAATAAACAGTATTAGATAGTAATGAGTTATTGCTACTTTTGTTAGGAAGAGATAGCTGATTACGAAAAAAAAAAAAAAAGTCCTAATCGTTTAGAGGTAAAATTGAACATCACAGTGAATTTCCACAATGTCTGGAGTTTACTTTAAATATTCTAGTAAAAAACAAAAACGAGTACGGAGAAACACAAGTGGAAAAATGTTGATAGTGGTTCAGCTGGATGATGGATACTGTGGAGGTTTGTATATGTGAAGTTTTCTGGATTAAAATTTAAAGCAGTAGGTCCTGATTTTCATTGGCTGTGACCTGGGGCAAGTCACTTTCTTGCTCTTAGCCTTACTATGCCGACCTGTAAGACGGGGATCATTTTACTTACTGTGAGGTTGCAGCGAGATACAAACATTCTTTCCTAACTCTTGGGGCTCAGAGGAAATCAGATGAGCGTCCTGCCCCAAGCAGCTCACGGTGGAAGGTGGGGAACTGACAGCCTCTGGGTCCCAGGACAGACCGGCACCGGACACCCTGCCCCAGAGGCCTGCCTGTGCTGCCATCTGGTGACCACATTGGGAACTGCTCCAAAGGCGCTGGGGCGGGTGGAAGAGGAGTCATTTTGCCACTGCTCTTGGGCTCCTGCTCAGGGAGTCCTGAGGTCTAGAACGTGATCACCGCAGCGCAGGTTGTGTCCCGTGGACCTGAAGCTGCTGGTCTGGGAGTGCCCCATACATGGGCCCATACATGGGCCAGCCAGCGGAACCCCCTTCCAGCAACGGGGACGGGAGGCCTGGCCGAGGGTGTGTGAAGATCACGCTGCACAGCATGTGGTGGCCCATGGGATGGGGGCGTGCGGGAAGCGGGGCGCTCTGGAGAAGGCCGTGCAGGTGGTTCGACAGCATGTGGGCCGTGGCTGAGAGGCTGCCGAGTGGCCGGGCCAGGCTCCATGCCCTCCCGCCACCGGCCCGCAGTGGGCTGGCTGGTCAGTCACAGGTCAGGTGACTTGCTCGAGGTCATGCCGGTGGAGAAAGGGAGGGCTTTTGTGTGTTTTCCCAGGCTAATCTTTTTTTTAAAATATACTTTTTATTGCTTTCAGAGAGGAAGGGAAAGGGAGAGAGAGACAGAAATATCTATGAGAGGGAATCATCAGTCGGCTGCCCAGGCCAACAAACCAGGCATGTGCCCTTGACCGGAATCAAACCCTTTCAGTCTGCAGGCCGACGCTCTATCCTCTGAGCCACACCAGCTAGGGCTTCCCCGGGGAATCTTAGCTTCCATGTGACTGTTGGAGCTGAAGCTAGACCCGGGTGCGAGTCCCAGCCTTTCTGTCACGACTGGCTGCGTGTCTATTGCCGCTGTGAGGTCATGTGGCAGCCTCTGTGGGCACTACGGGCTCCGGGAAGCGGGTCTTCTGTTCGCCCTGTGTGCCCAGTACCCTCCCAATGCCAGGCACTTACTGGTGCTTACGTGGAGGGAGAGGAAGTCAGGGTCATCTCCCAGAAGCCTCTTGCTGAGCCTCACCTGCCCAAGGCGGAAGGAACCAGCCCCACAGGCCTCCTGGGTTGGGCAGTCACACCGCTGGCACCTGGCTGCCTTCTGGGCCCAAGTGCTTGGACCCTGGCACATGCTACAAGGCCAGCTCCCCTCTGGCACAGGCCCCGCCCCTCCGGCACAGACCCCTCCCCATCTGGCAAGGCCCCGCCCCTCTGACACAGGCCCCTCCCCCTCCGGCACAGGCCCCGCCTCTCTGGCACAGACCCTCCCCCTCTGACAAGGCCCCGCCCCTCTAACACAGGCCCCGCCCCTCTGGCATAGGCCCTCCCCCTCTGGCACAGGCCCCTCCCCCTCCAGCACAGGCCCCGCCCCTCTGGCACAGGTCCCGCCCCTCTGGCACAGGCCCTCCCCCTCTGGCACAGGCCCCGCCTCTCCGGCATAGGCCCTCCCCCTCTGACAAGGCCCCGCCCCTCTGACACAGGCCCCGCCCCCTGACACAGGTCCTCCCCCTCTGGCACAGGCCCCGCCCCTGGCACAGGCCCCGCCCCTCCGGCACAGGCAGAGTCCTGCAAAGGGAGGACCTGGACTGGGTCTCGGTGCCCCCCTGGCGCAATGAGGGAGCCTGCGGGCAGCGGGCCGGGCTGCTGGGAGTGTGGCCGGCCCCGCAGCGCCTGCACCTTCTCCGCAGGCCCCAGCGCTTTGTTTTCGGGGCCGGGAGGACTCAGAAACCCTTCCTGGCTGCGGCTCCATTGTCAGCCTCTGATGCTGATCCCGCCCCACAACCCTCTTCCCTTCCTCCCCTCCCCCGCGCGTCCCTGCGGTCCTGCACCGCCATACCGCCATCGCCATCCCCGCCATCCCCGGCATCCCCGCCATCGTCACCGCCATCACTATCACCATCACCGCCTTCACCTCCATCACCTTCATCACCTCAGTCTCGATGTTTCTCTCTCTCTCCCTTCCTCTCTGTAAAACATCAATAAAGTATATATTTTTAAAAATCCATTTCATATTCAGTAGCTTGGTAGCCAAAAAGTGTGATTTCTGAGATGGATCTCAAAGGCAAGAAGCCTGTGAGTTCTCCTGCAGAGCGCTTATTAGAATGGAAGGCTCTGTGCCTCCCTGGCCTGCAGCTCCATCGTCTCCTCCAGGGCCTGGCATTGCAGAGCGAGGAGCGGGGGGGAGAGCAAGCGGTCCCCAAGCCCTGCCAACGGCTTTTGGCTGCCTGCGCCTCGCGAGGCGCCATATGGAAATCAGGCGAGAGTCTGCCTGCCTGGTCTGCATGACAACAAGCAATCGGATATTGGAAAACAAGAGCTTTGGACTCCATCTCCAGTCATCCTGCGGGAATTCCGACACCTCCTCCGAGGAATGTGTGGTGTCACCGTTTTATCTCTTCTCGTCGTCCCCCCACTCCTCTCCTCCCAGCCCCTCCGAGTGTTCACACTCAACAGACTCGCCCAAATCTCCGGCTTGGGCCCTGGCACTCCCCTGCTCACCAGTTCCAAAGGCCGGGGGCCTCCCTGCCCACGTGTCCTGCCTGCACTTGCCAGCCTCCTGTGCAGGGAGGTGGAGGCCGGGACTGGGGCTCTGGACAATGGGGCCCCGCCCCTCCAGCACAGACCCACCCCTCCAGCACAGGCCCCGCCCCTCCGGCACAGACCCTCCCCCTCTGACAAGGCCCCGCCCCTCTGACACAGGCCCCGCCCCTCTGTGGGGCAGTGGCATGACCCGGGCCTGACCCTGCAGCACATCCTGTGTGGTTCTCCCTTCTCTCCTGCCACGTGACCTTGGAGGCCATGCCTGCCCCACGCAGAGCGGCCAGCAGAGAGGGCACTGACCTGCAGCGACGTTGTGGGTGCGTGGACACAGGATTCCCGAGTTGGGGTGCCCAGCCTGGCCTGGTACTGCGTCCAGGAGTCCCGACACCTGCAGGCAACACCTGACTGAATACCTGCTCTGTTACAGGCATCCCCACTCCTCCCCCCCAAAAGGGCCTCATTGTCCCCAGGTACTTCCGTCTCTCTCCCCTGCCCAATCAGACTGGGACCCTCCTGTGCTCCTCCTCTGCACCCCTCCCCTTGCTCTTGTCCAGGCCTGGCATCGCTCATATGGACATGGCCCCCTCTCCCTCCGCTGCTGGTCTCCTTGTCTCTCTCCCAAACCCGCATTTCAGACACTGCTAGAGAGAGGTTCAAAATGGCGGCAGACTGGGAGGATGCTGCATGGACACGCTCCCAGGAACAAGCTGGAATTACAACTGAAATATGGAAAGGCTTCCTGAATAATCAACGGAAAACTTGCAGGAGAGAACCCTGATACCCGAGGACCGAAGGTGGAGACTGCATTGAACTGGTGGGAGGGGCGGAGGCGCAAAAGGGCTGGCTGGGCACCCACAGGTGGCAACTGAAGTCCAGAGATGCCTCAGCTGTCAGAGGTGCCTGAGATCTAATCCCCAAGCAGAGAGCACCAAACAGGAGGGTACCCACAAACATCTAGCTGTGAAAAGCAGTGGGGTGCTGTCTGCCAGGGAGTGGCAGCTGAAAGTCGGGCACCCTCTCAAAGGTGCAAAAATTCCCTGTGGAGCCACCCACCTTGTGCCCTGGCAGAGGGAAGGTGAAGAGGATTGGAGCTGTGAGAGTAGAACCCAGGACTGGGGACTCGGGGGATAGAGCTCAGAAGGCAGACACCCAAGTTTTCTGGGCTGAATCATTCCCTCATGCACAGAGGACACCTTTCCCACCAGAGACACCTGCCTTACCTGGGGGAAGAGTCGACACACGCTATTGGAAAACACCTTGCCAGAGGCCACTGAGGAGATTAAAAATAACAATTATCCTCCAGGCAGAAGCAACTGCCCACCTGTTGAAAAAACTCTCACCACAGCTGAGGACGATTGCCTGGGGGTAATTCAAGTTGGAATCTTATTAGTCTGTAGGCAGAGGGGTCTCTGGAGGCTTTGAGTCTTTGCCTGATCCAATTGGTCAGAAACAGCCTTGCACTATACTGACCTGCACTAGAGATTGAGAGGCATAGAGGATCCATCTAATATAGTGATTGCTAGCCTTTTGGCACTCATGGGCCACCCGGTGGTGACCGCTGATCTAATACATAGCCACAAACCCAAACAGATGCTTCTAGATCCACTTTCTGAAACTCCACCAGTTGCTCCTTTTTTTGGAAACCCGACCTCAGAAGGGACACACCTGTAGCCTGTGGGCCTCAGAGCCATCGACTGTCCTGCACGTCCTGGCCATCTGCCACTCCCTGCCACCTCCCTGCATGAGTTGCTGCTGCTGCCGCCGGTGAGGGCGGAATGGACTCTGCCATCCACTCAGCACTTCTCCACAATCGCTGTACTCACCAGGTGTCACCGCTGTCAGCAGCAGGGGGAGCCCCTGGGTCAGAAAGCAGGGGGGGATGGAATGAGTGAAAGGAAGCCTGGCGTTTAAATTGCAGAGCTTGGCTGAAACCGGTTTGGCTCAGTGGATAGAGCATCGGCCTGCAGACGGAAGGGTCCTGGGTTCAATTCCAGTCAAGGGCATGTACCTTGGTTGTGGGCACATCCTCAGCAAGGAGTGTGCAGGAGGCAGCTGATCGATGATTCTCATCGATGTTTCTAACTCTCTATCCTTTTCTCTTCCTTTCTGTAAAAAAAAATCAATAAAATATATATTTTCAAATGCAGAGCTTGGCTTTTAAACTTGTATATCCTTATGCAAGTGCCGTGAGCCCTCGGAAAGGACGGCCGCCTCGGTGGCGCTTCCCCACATGACACCTTCTTGGAGAGAACCCCAGGGACTCCTGCCCGTTTTACAGATGGGGAAACTGAGGCCTGAGCACACAGCAAGCGAACGGCCAGGTGACAGCGTTGGAAACGCAGGGCTGTGGGAATGCAGTGTGCTCGCTGGGGCGGGTGATGTGCTGGTGTGTGTAGGGGGACCTCCTGGCAGGGCCACCTCACCCCACCCAGCATCTGTGGGACTCACAGCTCAGCCTGGGGCCTCAGCACTGCCCAGGGCTCCCCTGGCTGCAGGTCTCGGGGCCCCCTGGAGTTTAGGAGGGTGTGCCTGTGGGGATGGAGAGGAAGGGAAGGGCGAGGGCGTGCCCCCGGGAGGGAGAGCCCACCGCGGGGTCCTCTGCACGGAGGGTGCTCCTTGCTCTGCTGCAGGTGGAGGCGAAGGGCAGGTCCCGGGGGAGGGTCCCAATAGACCACCCGTCCGTCAGCCTCGGTGCTCTCTCAGGGCCAGGCCTCCACGGACGGGCGGCGCTGGACAGGGTCATCTGTCAGTGCAGAGGCAGCTGCGGCCACTGGTCTGGCTTTGCTGCTGTCCTGGGGGCGGGGGGGGGCAGCGGATTCAAACCTCGTGGCCAGCGACATGCAGGGAGAGAGGCCCCTTAGCGCCAGTGGCTTTCCCAGCTCTGCCCGACGCCAGGCCCCGGGCCTGGCTCCCCCCGGGGCTGGGCGTTCTGTGAAGGGAGTGTGTGCCAGGAGCTGCCCTCCACCCGAGGGCAGGGCCTCCCGAGCACGGGGACCCGGTCCGTGTGCCCAGCGGCGCGTGGGCTGCGTGGTCTGGGGGGCGGGGTCACAGGTCTCTGAGCTTCGCCTTCAGAAAGGACACACAGTCCTGCCCCTGACACCTGTGAGGGGGCCACCTGCACCCCGGGGGGCCAGACGGATGCTGTGGCTCAGCCTGAGCCTGGCGGTGAGTGCCTGTCCTGCAGGGCTGGCCTACCCCCAGAGGACAAGCGGGGGCGGGGGGGGGAGGACAGTACTTTTTGGATGTGACTTCTGCTGGGCGGCCCTGTCTTCAGGTGTTTGCAGGCCTGAGGGAACCCCGCTCTCTTTCCCCATGTTCCAGCTAAGCTCCCCCCCCCCCCCCACAGGCTCTCGCTCTCCCTGGAGCAGGGACCCAGCTCAGAGGCTGGTGTGACAGGGCCGCCGCCCCTGAGGGTTTTTAAAGCTGAACGCGGGGGGCGGGGCGGGGCTCTGTGGCTCCTGTGTTTCCCTCTGAGGCCAGGCCAGCGGGGCGCAGGGCGGTGCCGGGACACTACGCGGTGTCTGAGGCCGGGTGACCATGCGGGGGGGCGGGGGGGGGCTCTGCCCTGGATGGACCCCGCCCCCGGACCCTCCCTCCCTCTATCCAGTGCCTGTCCTCTGCCCAGGGCTGCCCTGGCCTGCAGCTGGGGTTGCAGCCACAGGCGCGGCTTTGGGAGGAGCAGGCCGGGCGGCAGCCGGACCTTTGCAGGCTCCTCCGGGACCTTCCCGGCCCAGCTCTGTCTCCCCGGAGGCCGACAGAGCCCTCCACCGCCCACCCTGCCGCCGCCTCTGCGGAGGTGTCTCCAGAGACTTGTCCTTAGGGTGCGGCCACCGGGGCTCCCCGCCTGGGTCTGTCCCAGCCCCGGCCCCAGCTGCCCCGCCGCCCGCACAGCCGGAGGGGAGGGAGGATGGGGGCCGGAGGGGAGGGAGGAGGGGAGGGAGGAGGGGAGGGGGGAAGGGAGGGAGGAGGGGAGGGGGAGGAGGGGGGACCTGAGGGGGAGGAGGGAAGCCGGAGGGGAGGAGGATGGAAGGGAGGATGGGAGGGAGGAGGGGAGGCTGGAGGGGAGGGAGGAGGGGAGGAGGGAAGAGGGAAGGGAGGAGGGGAGGGGGAGGAGGGGGGCCTGAGGGGGAGGAGGGGAGGGGGAGGAGGGGAGGGAGGAGGGGAGAGAGGAGGGGGAGTGGGGGCCGGAGGAGGGAGGAGCCCCGGGCCTGGCGGTGGGGCGGCGCCCGGACCTGGGGCTGAGCCCGCGCTGGCGGCGGCGGCCGGCAGGGGGCGGTGCGCCCTCGGCGCGGCGGCGGAGCGCGGTCCCCCTCGCCCGCCGCGCCTTTCTCTGTCGCTGCCGCCGGCTCCCTCCCGGCAGCGCTCCGGTCCCGCCGCCGCCGCCGCCGCCGCCGCCATGGCGCCCCGGGCGCCCCCGCGCACCCCGAGGGGCCCCGGCCCGGCCGCCGCAGCTCCGGGGCCCGCGCCGCCGCCGCCGCCGCCGCTCCGGCCGCTCCGGCCGCTCCGGCCGCTCCCGCTGCTCCGGCCGCTCCGGCCGCTCCGGCCGCTCCCGCTGCTCCTGCTGCTGCTGCTGCTGCCGCCGCCGCCGGGCGCCTGCTCCCCCGGCCGCCGCGGCGCCCCCGTCCGGCTGGCCCGCTCCGCGCCCGGCCCTCCGGGGCCCGGCCTGGGGCGCCGCGGGCGGGCGGCGCCGGGGGCCGCGGCGGCTTCGCGGGCGCAGGTCCCGCTCACCAGCTCGTCGTTCGTGCTCAAGGGGGACGCGACGCACAACCAGGCGATGGTGCACTGGACGGGCGAGGACAGCAGCGTGAGTGACCGCCCGGCCCGGGACTCGGGGCGGGACCCTCCCCAGACCCCCGGGATCCTGGCCCCGGCGCCCCGGGCCCGCAGGGGGTCCCCAACCCGGGGCTGCGCTCCGCCGTCAGCCGCCTCCTCGCCGCTGGCCGAGCGTTCTGGGGTTTTGCCCAGGACCCCTCCGCCCTGGTCAGCCTGGACCTACTCCTGGCACCTCTGCGGCCCCAGGGCCTCCCCGCCAGCTTGGTCTCCGATTCTGGGGCCTCGCCTCTCCCCAGTTACCCTCGTGTGCGCCACGGCCACCCCAGGTCCTGCCAGGGATGCACTTGGAGGCCCAGGACCTGGGGCCCCCTGCGTTGGGGTCCCCCCTTGCTCTGTACCTGCGTCTGCAAACGCCCCTCCACCCGCCCCCTGTGGGCCCTGCCGTTGCCTGTCCATCTGAAGTTCAGCAGACACTCCCCCCCCCCCCCTCTGGCTGGGTCCCCTGCTCCTCCCCCGTCTGCCGTTCCCGGGGCTCCGGCTCCTGCCCCATCCTTTGTGGAGTTGCGTCTCAGGACTTGGGGATACCCCTGCATCTTCCCTGGGGGCTGCCGTCCCCCCTCCCCCCCCGGGGAGCTGACTGATGGTCACTGTGGAGTCCCCTCCAGGCAGCCCTGGGGTGAGGACAGTTGGAGAGGAAGGTGGTGCTGGGAGGTGGCAGATGTGTGCATATGTGTGTGCGTGCACGTGTGTGCATATGTGTGTGCGTGTGTGCATGTCTGGTTGTATGGGGAGGGGACGTGGCAGTCTGCTCGCTGCTGTTCACGGGGTCTCCCCAGCGGCTGACGCCCAGCTCTCCTCCTTGACCTCTGCTCCCCGAAGTTCTGAGGAGGCCGCCTGGGTGGGGGAGACGTGGTGCTGAGCCTCAGCGGGGAACGGGCAGGACCGGGAGCCGACCCGAGTGTGCAGCCGTTTTTCAGACGTTTCCCCGCTGCTCCCGCCCACGGGGCCTCTCCCGTCTCTGCGGCCGCCGCCCAGACCTGGCTCCTCGCGCCGTGTCCCCCCTGGAGCGCACGGGCTCCCGGAGCTACGCGCAGGCCGGTGCCCAGGAATCTGCTCCGTGTTCTCACGGGCGGCCCGCTCCGCAGACCTCCGGGCCGGGGCCTTGCTCCAGGCTGAAGAAGCACCTGCAGGGATGGGCTTTGTACGTGTGATTGGAGCGCCCCAAAGGGGACGCCGGAGGCCGGCCTGGCTGCTGCGCTAACACCGGCGCGTTTCCCTCGGGGAGGGTGGGAGGGACCGCTGCCTGGTGCATGGTTCGCTGCGGGAACGGGGTCACGGTGAAGTGGATGCTTCGTGGACGCCGCCAGCGTGGCCTCTGGTGGGTCCCGAGGGGCCGGGTCCCGAGCTGCCCGCGGGCAGAGAGGTGACTGGGAGGCGGACGGAGCGAAGGTGGACAGAGTGCTGGTCTCTGCCTCTGGGGTCGTGGCCTCAAGCTGCCCCGGGGAGACAGCTGGGCCCTCCCACTTTAACTGTTCCTGGGAAATCACGTGCTTATTCTGCTTATTTTACTATTTATTTTTCCGTGCCTTTTATTGATTTCAGAGGGAGAGGGAGAGTCACTGATTGGCTGCTCCCCACTGGGGATTGAGCCCACAACCCATGCATATGCCCTGCCCAGGAATGGAACCTGGGACCCTTCAGTCTGCTGGCTGGCACTAGCCACTGGGCCACACCAGCCAGAGCTATTCTTACTTTCCATACAGCTCCCCTGCGCGCACCCTGCGGGCACTTGGACTTGGATGGACGTGGCAGTGAGCTTGCAGCCTGCAGCCCGGCCCAGCGGCTGGCTCTGTGGTGCTCATCTGGCCATCAGGCCCCTCTCCCCCACCCAGGCCCCTCTCCCCCACCCAGGCCCCTCTCCCCCACCCAGGCCCCTCTCCCCCACCCAGGCCCCTCTCCCCCACCCAGGCCCGCGTTGGCCCCGTGCTGCGTGCACAGGGCTGGGAGGGCGAGGGGGCTGTGAGCAGAGACGACTCCAAGCTGATTATCCGAGGTCTCTTCCCTGGGTCCCGGAACCCATTGAGCCAGAGCGCCGAGGGAGCATGGAGCCCCTGGCCAGGGCACCCGCCCCGAGGGCCACCCACACAAAGTGCCGCAGGCCGCGGGCTTTACACAGAAGTCCCTCTCCCCCCTCCCCCCATCTGGGAGGCTGGGGTCCGGGACCAGGCGGGGGCAGGGCGGCCCCCCCAGGCCCTTCGGTGGCGTGCAGACGGCTGTTCCTCCCCGTGTCCCCGCAGGCCGTCCCTCTGAGTGTGTGTGTGTGTGTGTCTGTCCTCACCGCCTTCACTCACAAGGACGCCGGTCCTGCTGGACCAGGGCCCAGCGCTATGACCTCATTTTGCCTCAGTTCCCTCCAAACAGCCCCGTTCTGCGGCTGGGGGTCAGGGCCTGCGTGTGCGGGTGTCACGGGAGGCAGGGACCTTGGCATCCCCTGAGCTGGACACGCGGAGCGCTGAGGAGCCCCGGGGAGGGGTGGCCGAGGACAGCCAGGACCCCGAGCTGAGAAAGCTCCTGTTGGGCTGGGACCGCGGCTGGGCGTGGGAGGGAGGCGCGGGTGGGGGTGACAGGCTTAACGGAACCCCAGGGCTGCCGCCTGGGTGCGGGCGCCTCGGGACAGAGGGGAGGAGGCACCTGCCCAGGACCCACTGGCAAGGGCGGGGCGTGGGGCCGGACCTGTGGGTGCTCGGAAGGGGTGCGATGGCTGGGCCGGGCCCGGGGTGCGGAGGGAGAGGAGAGGGCCCGGTCTGCAGTGAGGACGGGACCGGGAGAAGGGGCCTCCAGCTCGGCCCTCAAACCAGCTGCCCAGGGCAGTCAGGGAGGGCTGCATGGAGGAGGTGGCCGGCCGTGGTTCTGAAGGACAAGCAGAGTGGGCTGAGCAGGGGTGGGGTGAGCGGAGGGGGGCTGAGCAGGGGTGGGGTGAGCGGAGGGGGCTGAGCAGGGGGGGTGAGCGGAGGAGGCTGAGCAGGGGTGGGGGGCTGAGCGGGGACGGTGAGTGGAGGGAGCTGAGCAGGGGTGGGGACGGTGAGCGGAGGGGGCTGAGCAGGGAGGGTGAGCGGAGGGGGCTGAGCAGGGGTGGGGACGGTGAGCGGAGGGGGCTGAGCAGGGGGGGTGAGCGGAGGGGGCTGAGCAGGGGTGGGGACAGTGAGCGGAGGGAGGCTGAGCAGGGGTGGGCTGAGCGGGGGGGGGGTGGCTGAGCGGGGACGGTGAGCGGAGGGGGCTGAGCGGGGGGGTGAGCGGAGGGGGCTGAGCAGGGGTGGGCTGAGCGGGGATGGTGAGTGGAGGGGGCTGAGCGGGGGGTGAGCGGAGGGGGCTGAGCGGGGGGTGAGCGGAGGGGGCTCCGGGCAGAGGAAGGACACCGGCTCGGAGCCGCGGAGACCGCGTGAGCAGCGGCCGGCTCCGCGCTCTGACGAAGCGCCCGTGGAATTGTGGCGCGTGAGGCCCGGGCGCTGAGCGCCGAGAATGAGCGCCGTCCTGTGCCCCCGGGGGGCCGCGGGCCTTGGGAGGCAGGGCCGTCATTTAAATCCACTTTATTATAGTCTGTCAGAGGCAGCTGCGCCTCGGGCTGACGGCAGGCGGAGGAGGGGAGGGAGCCAGCGGCCAGCATCCCCGCGCCTCCTGCCCCCAGAGCACGGCTGTTTATAGACCGGCCAGCGCCCGCTCCCCCCTCCGTCGGCTCACGGGGGGCGGAGGGGGGAGCCGGGCAGGGGCCTCCGTCCGCACAGTCGGGAGGGGAGGGCCGGGGGGGGGTCTCCCTGGCCTGCCGTGGCTGCGGGAGCCCTCGGAAAGCCTCCCCGCGGGTGTGAATGTGGCTTCTGGCGTGAATGTGAACTGTCCAGGCAGGCATGTCCTCCCTCCTCCGCACATGACACTGCGGCCGGCATGCCGAGGCGGCCAGGCCTGCGGCCGGCGGGCGGGTGGCCTGTGGTGGCTGCGGCCGGCGGGCGGTGGCCCGTGGTGGCTGTGGCCGGCGGGCGGTGGCCCGTGGTGGCTGTGGCCGGCCGGCGGGCGGTGGCCCGTGGTGGCTGCGGCCGGCGGGCAGGTGGCCGTGGTGGCTGTGGCCGGCGGGCGGTGGCCCGTGGTGGCTGTGGCCGGCTGGCGGGTGGCCCACCCGGGGAGGCAGGGGCATTGTCTCTGGCTAAGCCATGATCCTCGCCATCGGTGTCCCCGCGGAGCCCCGTTCGCCGTTGAGCGTCTCCGGTCCCTGCACGCGAGCCCTCGCAGGAGCTGGGGGCCGTGAGCGATGCTCTTTTGGGGTTCCAGAGGCTCCGCGCCCTCCGCGGTGCGCTCCCGCGGCAGGCAGCTGCGTGTTTGCACAGAGTGACAATCATTTCATTAGTCTCTGCTCACACCAGCTTGAGGAGCTCAGAATAGCAGCGCCTCCTGTCATTTCCCGCAAAAGCAGAGCATTGCTGCAACGCAGCACTCCCCGGCCCCTGCAGGCCGGCCGGCCGGCTCCGCCGCTCAGGGTTCAGCGGGAGGGGCTCGGCGGGGCGGCCGCGCCACCGTCTCCCCGGCCTCGGCCTCGGCGGCATTGGTCAGGGTCCCCTCGGGGCTCCTGCCTCTGACGCCACTTCCTCTCACAGTGACAGTTCCTGGCATTTCCACGTGTGGAGCCCTGACCCGGCGGCAGCCACAGGCTATGGGAGTGCCCACTGCTGACCAGTCACGTCCTTGGCTCTGGAAGCAGCCCTGCGACAGAGAGGCGCTCCTGTCTTCCCGACGGAAGGCCTCAGTCCTCACCCCCGGCTCCTCGGTGCTCACCCCCCTCCTCCCGGTCCTCAGTCCTCACCCCGTCCCCCGGGTCCTCGGTGCTCCCCCCCCCCCCCCCGGGCCCTCTGTGGCTGGGACCCACATGCTGCTCTGAGCCGATGGTGGCTCTGCTGCTCACGTGGCCGCCTTCTCGCAGCCCCGTCCTCTCCTATAGAACAGGGTCCCGGTGCCCACCTCCTCGTGCTGTCCTGGCCGCTAGGT